GTGAATACCCAAGGGCTGGGACCAAAACCTATTCTTCTGGTTAGGAAGCAGTTGCGTGCTTCACTTGACAGTGATATGGCATTGCCAGGTGGAATCCCTCTTTCTGCATTCTCTTGGAGGGGACACAAAGTGATGGTCCTTCAAAAGACAGAATTTAACAAATGTTAAATTCAAATAAATTTCAGTATAGGCAGTATTTAGCATTTTAAAATTCAGCTATAAGATGTGGGCATTTCTGGCCGGGCCAACATTTATTCTCTATCCCTAGGTAGTGAGCTACCACCTTGAACCACTACAGTCCATTTGATTTAAGTAGATCTATAATGCCACTAGAGGAAGGAGTTTCAGGACATTGACCTCGTGACACTGAATGAATGAAGTGCAATTGTAATTAATTAAATATGAACTGATCTCTGCTGAGAATGAGTTAGGCCACAGAACCGAGATCATTTCATTGTGAGTTCAGCTCTGTTCTGAGAGATGTGGTGGTTCTGAGCAGGGCTTTTGGGTTCAGGTTTTTTAATAAGTTGCACTGTTTGTATTTATTCTCTTAGGCTGATGCTTTCTTGGCCTTGGCTCATTTTGCCTCGGCCTTTGCCTGCAGACTTTCAACTTTGTGGATCTTAGGGTTTCTTTGCCATTGCTTTTGCTGCCTTGGCAGGAGATTTCGCTGTAGATTTCTTTGTGCTGTTATTCTTTGTAATAGTTCTTGGTTGTTGGCTTTGTGACTGGTTTCGTTTATAGGGCCAATTGGCATTTGTGCTGACTCCCATCAGGCACTGCTGCATGTGACATCAGCCCCACATGCACAGAAGCTATCCGGTGCTCAGTCTCTGTAATGGCTGACCAACATTATGGGGAATCACCTGTACCTGTGTGGGTGGCTCTCAGCAGCCATCTGTAATGGTAGCCACTGCTGGGAACTTGCATTTAACATTTAAAATATTCTTTCACAGGATATGGATATCGCTGGTCAAGTCAGCATTTATTTCCCATTCCTAACGGCACTGATAAAAAGAGCCACTGCTTTGAACCATTGCATTCCAAGTGGTGTAGGGGCCGCCATGCTGGTGGTCTGGAAGGATATCTAGGATTTTGACTTTGCACGCATGAAGCAACAGCGTTTGATTCCCAAATCAGGATGGGATGTAATTTAAAGGGGCTACATGTGAGTGGGTGCATTTCCTTGCATCTGCTGACTCCTGTATTTCAACATCTTCCAAACCCATAACTTCTACTACCTGGAAGGGCCTTTGGTACATTAGTGCAGTGCTTCTTGTAATTGGTGCACGCTGCTATCCCTGTGTAGCAGTTGTGGAAGTGGGTGGAGATGAAAGTTGAAGGTGGTAGTCAGGGTGCAGATCAAGCCTGCTTTGCCCCGAATGCCCTTTAGGGAAGGAAACTGTTATCCTAACCTGGTATGGACTACATGTGACTCCAGACCCACAACAATATGATTGACTCTTAACTGCTGTCTAGGCAATAAATGCTGACCTAGCCAACAACGCCCACATCCTGTTAATTAATTTTCTTTCGAAAATGATGTTCAGCTTCTTTGAATGTGTTGGAGCTACACTTGTCCAGAAAAGTAGAGAGTGATTTGTCATGGTCCTGACTCTTCTTAATTGTAGATTGTAGTCTGTTGAGAGTCTGGAATTGAATTACTTCAGAATTCCCAGAATCTGATCTTGTTTTGTAGCCACTGTATTTATGTAGCTGAATGTTGTTTGGCTCTGGCTGTATATGAGACAGACTGTTTCAGTGCCAGATGATTTAAGAGCAGTTCTCAAACTTGTGCTATTATGAGTGAACACACTCACTTCTGATTTTATGGTAGAGGAGAGGCTGTTGATGAAGCATAGTTGGTCCACGACACTCCCTTTAACCACTCCAGTGATTCCCCGGACTGAAATCATTGACCTCCAATAACCACTATGGCCTGTCTTTGTATTAGTTATGACTTTAAACAACAGCAAGTTTATGATATAGAAATAGACAGTCTTAGTGATGATATGAATCCAGTCAGAAGTTCATCTTGGGGTCACGTACAGCACTGAGATTGTGAGCTTGGTCTCCGATTGTTGCTGTGAAAAGGGATGGAATGGGTAACTAGGACATGAAGTTTGATGTGGGGATTGAAAACAACAGCTTCCATCTTTCCAATATTCAACTGGAGGGAATTTCTGCTCACCTGAAATTTGGCACTGGATGAGCAGTTTTATAATTTAGCAACAATGGAGGAGTTGAGAAAGGGGGTGATGAGGTATGACTGGGTGTCATCAGCATGAAATATAACTCTACTTTTGGTTGCTGTCACTGTAGGGCAGATTCAGTGAGAAATAGGAAAGGGAGCCAAAGATTGATCCGATAGGAAAACCAGCAGTAAAGGTGCAGGGGCATGAGAAGTGAATGTCTACCTGCTGTGATTGGATAGACCAGAATGGAGATGGGCATGAGCAGTCCCAGTCAGCTGGCTGTCAATGGAGAGATGATGGAGGAGGATGGTATGGTCAACATTATTCATGTCATGCGAAACAAGGCTGCAGAAAGATTTAAAAAGTAGCATGAGGGACTTTGGGAAATGATTGGATAATACAGAAAGCATTGTGGTTGGTTAGCTCGCCGAGCTGGTTTGTTGTTCCGCAGACGTTTCATTACCCTGCTGGGTAATATCATCAGTGCGGCCTCCAATGAAGCACCATCGTGTTTTCCCGCCTGGTTTTTAAACTCTGGAGTCCGTTGAGCTGGATTACCTCACTTTCGGTTTTCCTTCGTAGTGGAGTGTATATAGGGTCGAGTTCTATGTGTTTGTCGATGTCTTTCTTTGTGGAGTACCAGGCTTCTAGGAATTCCCATGCTTGTCTCTGCTTTGCTTGTCCCAGGATCTTGGTGTTGTCTCAATCGAATACAGAAAGCATTGCTGGAGCTTGTAGGACCAAGAGTTGATAGTGAGGCTGCAGAATTCTGGATTTTGTGAATGTTGGCAATGGGTTCTAATTGGGGAGTGTTTATAAAATCTATCCTTGGGTGCTTAAAAATGTATTTCAGGGTTTTATTACCTGAGGAATAAAGAACTAGAAAGAGCTGAGAAGATGAAGTATAAGATAAAGTTGGGGAAGTGCAACTTTCATGACAAACCTGATGATTTAAATAAAAATTAAGGCTGCACAATACTGGATTCAGTTTGAGTGAAGACTAGGGCAATTAATAGAGTGAGAAAAGAGGTGACAGATGTTGAAATGAATGTAAAATGTAAGATACTTACATTTGTAATATATTTAATACCAGCCTATAGATCATGTAAAATTATATCCTCTTCTATTTTCTGAACAGTCCTAATGGGAAGTCTGACAAGTTGTGAGATTACTACTTAGACTGAAGGAGAAAATTCTTCTGACAGGCCCATATTTCTTCTAATAGCAGGGAAGCTGAAACATCTACAAAATACATTAATTAATTATAGCTGAGGGCAGTTTTGGATATCAAGCGAGCATTCGCAATAGACAGTTGCTCCAGAAAGAAAAATTTTGGAATTTTAATCTCCAGGGTCCATTTAATTCCTGCCAATGAGCTTTTGAATGATCCCAACAGTTAAGCATTAGAGAATTACATGACTGAGATTCTCCACTAAGGCCATGGGGAATCAAGTTGCTGGCTGACCTGGGGGAAGGGAGTGGTTTTTTGTAGTGGAGGTGGGATCCTGTTGGAATGTAGGTCTGGGCAGGTAAGACCCACTTATTCTGTGGGGCCTGAGGTTATACACAAGGTATTGACAAAACAAAACCCATATTGGTTTTGTGTGGGGTCCTTAAGTTTATCAGTTTTAAGATGTAATCAAATGGCTAGAGCACAGGTCAATTAAGCTGCTCATTCGAACTGAACACAAAGTTTAAATCAGTTGCTAATATTAAAGTAAGTTATATTTTTAAATAGATGTAAAATATTGTGATGAAATTCATTCATTCTAATACAATACCAACATTTGTGATAAATTTGAAATGGTGGTCCTGTTTCTATACCTGTGGCTGTTCCAGATTCGGCTGTTCCAATGTAGACTTAATTACCGGATAGTATTTAATACTATTGCTGCAAGGGCAGTTTTAAAAGGATAAAGGCAAAATACTGTTTCTTATTGGAAATCCGAAACACAGAATGCTGGAGAAACTTCAAGTCTGGCAGCATCTGTAGAAAGAGAAACTGTTATTGTTTCAAGTTTACAATGATTATTCAGATCTGAAGTTATGAAATGTCGTACCTGACTCAAACATTAATTCTGTTTCTCTTTGCACAAGTGCTGTCAGACCAACTGAACTTTCTCCAGCAATGTTTTTATCATACAGTTTTACAAGGACCTGTTTAGGGATATACCTGGGGCCCAACTTACACAGATTCTAACAATTCCTAGCCAAGTTTAATTTATTTATGCATATTGTGCCTTTCATCAGTTAACAGTTATACTAACACACAACTGGTACCTGTGGTGAAAAATATTCTAATGACTTGAGTATTTCTCAATGTTGGACCATTGCAGCTGCTTGCTTTGTCTTATTTAAAGTAAACAGCAACTCTCTTCAAAGTGTTGAATAGTATTCACTATCACGCTTAACAGCTGCATTTTGTTTTTGGGTCAACTGCACGCATTCTGTAAGTCAGTGACGCCATTGAAAATGTCGTGTTGATTCAAAATCATTGCATGATACAAAATGTTATACAGAAATATTCATACATTGTAAGGCATGGAATTTGATTTTTTTCAGTGGGAATTCATTGTTGCCTAGTCTTAGCTGGTTGCTAGCATATTGTCACTATCGTGTGATTATCAGACCTAGTTAAAGGATATAATTATTTTTGTTATGCTAGCAAATGAACTATTTTATATCCAGTTCTAAAAGTAGTAAATATTCTTGTCTGTTTTCTTTGCATTATGATCATTGACTACAAATTTAATTGGATCCAGAGTTGCTCAATTTCCTCATTTGCTTTTGCTTTTTCTTTTGCAGTGGGATGCTATCCCAGAAATGGATGAACGCAACCGACCCATCCATACCTACCAGGTGTGCAATGTGATGGAACCCAATCAAAACAACTGGCTGCGGACTAACTGGATTTCGCGTGAGGCAGCTCAAAAAGTGTATGTTGAATTAAAATTTACCCTGAGGGATTGCAACAGCATTCCCTGGGTAGTGGGGACTTGCAAAGAGACATTCAATCTATATTACATGGAATCAAATGAGTCTCACGGTGTTAAATTCAAGCAAAATCAATACATTAAAATTGACACAATTGCAGCTGATGAGAGTTTTACTCAGATGGATCTAGGAGATCGTATACTTAAACTGAACACTGAAATCCGTGAGGTTGGGCCAATAAGCAAAAAGGGATTTTACTTAGCCTTTCAGGATATTGGAGCTTGTATTGCTCTTGTCTCTGTGCGTGTGTACTATAAAAAGTGCCCATTCACTTTTCGCAACTTGGCAATGTTTCCTGACACAATACCTAGAGTTGATTCCTCATCTCTTGTGGAAGTCCGTGGATCCTGTGTAAAGAATGCAGAGGAGAAAGACACACCAAAACTTTACTGTGGTGCAGATGGAGACTGGTTGGTTCCTTTGGGAAGATGTGTCTGCAGTACTAGCTATGAGGAAGTGAATGGAGCATGCCATGGTAAGTGAATGAAATACCTTCCATGAGTTTTGAGAAGACAGAAGTAAATCCTACATTCGAGGACCTTTGACAATAGTAGTGGGGAGAGGGAGCATGGAATAGCCAGTGCATTAAATTGTTACACAGAAATATAGCATCAAATCTAATCATATGGTCTGACATGGATTTTGCAGTGAAGAAAACCTGTGGTCAACCAGTTTCATTACTTTGCGACAACCCTAAGGGGAATTACAGTACTGCAGTGAAACACAAAAGGTGCATGGGTCACTGTTTCCAAGTAGCACAGCTCCTGAAGCTTTTAACTGAAGCCATCTGAAAACTAGTAGTTACCTTTATCAATCTCATTAGTAAATAGATTGTTCTAATTAATGTCACTGACCTGCTTAATGTTTTTAGATGCTGAATGTCAAGCTGTCAGAATATGTTCTGTTTATTCATAAGGTTAATTATTATTTTTCTGTCGATTAACAGTAAACAGATGATTGCATTACAGGAAGCAAAATTCTGGCTAATGTTTTGTAGTCTGCCATATCCTACATTAGATTATTGACACAAGTCAGGCCTGTTGAGTCCAAATGTTCAACTTGAATGTCTACTACAATGATTTCTGCAATGATCAACGTTGAAATGCGTTTCTAAATCACAGGAAGGATGTGGGAAGATACTCATGGTCAGGAATGTGACCTTTCTGTATTTGTCACGTAGACCTGTTTTCAAAGTGGCACTGGTGGAGACCTGGAAACTCTTTGTCTGCTGTCTTATTCACAGGTCATGTGTACCGTGTGACAATAATACAGGCATCAAGAAAAAATTTTGACAGTCAAACCCACACAACATACAGGCAAGTAAGGTTATAAGGCAAGGCAAATTACTGCACAATAAAATTTATATTACCGCAATTACTTTTATTAATTGACTGAGTCACAAATATTAAGGAAATAACATGCACACACTGATCTGAATAATGCAGGTAATTCCATTTCATAGTACATTTTGATCATCGTGTGTTCTTGCTCCAAACTGGATCTGTGCAGCTCTTGTACGTTCATATGACCAGACTCTGGATATGGTGCCCCAGTTTGTTGCAGTTCCAGACAGGACATCCCAAATCATTTAAGCTCTAGGTGAAGACTGATTAACTGGATTCCATTCTTTATACATCCACCCTCTTGGTTGGTTGTAACATGATTAATTTGAAAAGGATCCTTTAACTTGTAAATCCCTCTTTCCCCAGACCCAAATGAGCTGATATTTTAAAGGGAGTCAATTTAAGTAGTCTGCCTTGAGTTGACAAAGTTTGAGGCAATTAATTACTCACCATAAGAAGAACTAAGAATGCAACACGTACGCAAATTAGAAATAAAAAAGCTTAAAGAACACACCTACAGATTATTTTTTCAAATTGCTCATGAAGAGCAGATAAGACGACATTGCAGTCCTTATCAGGTTGTACCGGTAGCATTGGCAGCTGTACAGACTATTTTTGAGATTCTTGATTTTGTGTAGTTGATGGTAGTTCTTTCGTCTTGATTTCCTTTTCTAACTGGTTGACAACGAAAGGGAGAGAGTCTTCCTTTACCTGCAACAGAGGGTTAATTAGGGGATAGTTCTTCAGCTATGACCTTTACAGCTAACATGTGAACCCAAGATGATGCATATGATTGTGTTCAGTCCCACTGTTACATCTCATTAGAGTTGAAACTGAACACTTAACCCTATCCTTATTCTTCAAAGGGGAATACATAATGTGTCTACAGTTTGGAACATGATTGCAGGATGTCATCAGGCCCTCATTATGGTTGTAGCTGTGAGATCTCAATCCAGTCTGTTTGAAGATTCTATGCTACCTTTAGGTGTTGCATCACATTGGTCCTGCACAGAAAGCTTTTACATGAGCAGTCCTCTTTTAAAAGGTATATTTAAGTGTTAAAACCATGCACATTACTTTGAGATTCAGACCTGCAGTAATGAGTATTAGATTTTATTTTTACTAGTAGAACTTTGAATATTCATTTCGCACCGTTACTTTAGAGTAATTAAAATTAACTGATTTTGTAATAGAAGATCGATTTGTGCTAATTTATGAACTCGTGTAATCAAATACAATTTCTGTAAACATGCTGTTGTAACATCTTATGAAGCTTCCACAAAGCATCAATAAGACAATGGATTTTTGCTTTCATCCAGTTATATACTTGGATTACTTTTAAAATGAATTAACATACTGTCAAAAGAAAAAAACAACAAAAGATATGGTTATATATTCAAACACTAAATACTGGCTATCAAAATATATTGTGTTGCATAATCAGCTCATTATTTTTGAAATTATTGAGGCATTAATATGTCTTGGAATAGAATCATAGAATGGTTACAACACTGAAAATGATCATTCGGTCTGTCATGACTGTGTCAGCTCATTGCACAAACATCTTGCCAAGTACCCCTCTCCTGCCTTTACACTATGGTGCTGCATTCTTTTCTGTAGATAATTATTCAATTCTCTTTTTGAGAGCCATGATTAAATGTTTCCATTGCATACTCAAGTAGCAGATTCCAGATCCTAACCACTTGCTATGTAAAGGTACTTTTCCTCATGTCAATGAATTAGCATTATTGGCAAAAGGAGCTGTGTCCTCTTGTTCTTGATCCATTGACCAAAGAGCAATGTTTTTCACTATCTACTTTGTTCAGACTACTCATGATTTTCAAAACTTAAATCTCCTCTCAAAAATGATTCCAAAATTAGGCTTCCAGTCGCTCTTTTCATTTCCCATTCAGAAAGGGAATAAAACAAGCAGTAACAATGTCGAGGCCTTGAATTTACAAGTCTGTACCCCAAAACCCAATCTTTCCACATCCACACCCACATCCACACCCCTGCTTCCCAACTACCCAAATAGAACAACTTGCTGTCGTAAACGTTGGAACCCTAACTAATCAGTTCATCACATGAGCAATGGAATTAGACCTTGTGCTTGCTACAATTAAAAGAAATAATATTTTGTAATGGGGCACATTAGCAGAAACAAATAATTCCTCAAGTTTCAGGTATATCAAATATGAAATTCATTCAGGTTGGTTTGGAAAATACCCCTGTTCACACTTTTTTTTAATCAATGTATACAATGTCTCATCTAGAGTATTGCCTGGCCTGATTGCTGCTATTTTAAATGCTTAAGGTTCAGTTACCTATTTTGTTTCTTAATTTACCTACTCATATGAATTTTATGATTTATAAATGACTATGCCCTGTCCAGTTAGTGTTTCCTTACCTACGTCATGATGCACATTAAACCCACTGGACATTTGAGATTCCTGTATTTCCATAATCATTCCACTGCAGCTGCTCCAAGATCAAATACTCTTCCACTTCCTCCCAGGACCTGGTCTTTACATCAAGTTGTAAGTTTGGTTTGTTAGCGGGTATGCCGGGACTTTGTAAACCCCAACTGCTCTGCTGGAATATTGATGGAAAATGGTGAACAGCATTCAAAAGAGAAAACATTTTTTTAAAGAGCAGTGAAAGTAACTGGATTTATGTTCTTAAAGATAGAATGAAATGTAAATAGCTTATTAAGCAACTGGTACAAGGGTAGAAACAGGTGCTAAATGGGTTTTGTGGTAATACATTTTGTTTTATTTAAAAGCATGGTTTTCATATGCAAATTTTATCCCAGCATTGCTATAATTTGAATTTGGCTACAGCACACAAGACTTGGGAGCAGCAGTAGACCCATATGGCCTCTCAGGTTTATGGCTGATTTTGGGCTTCGCTTCTCTTTCCCATCTGCAACATATCACTCAGTTCCAAGAATCTGAAAAGTTGGACTACTCCAGTCAGTATTCAGCAATGGGGCATCCACAACTCTTCGGGTCGAAACTTCCATAGATCCACAACTCTTTTGAGAGAAGTAATTTATCATCATCATTCTAAATGATGGGCCTTTGAATTGTAAGACTTTGTCCTGTGTTTTAGTTTTCCCGACCAACAGAAACAATTTCCCAGTGTTTATCCTGTAAAGCTCCTTCACAATCTTGTATGTCTCATTGGGATCACCTTATTCCAAAGAAGAAGGGCCTAATTTACTCAGCCTCTCGTCATAGGATAAGGCCTTTCTCTGAGGCCAATCTAGTGAATGGTTGCTGCAGAGCCTCCTATACTAGCACATCCTTCTGTAAATGTGGAGATGAAAACTGCATAAAATACTCCAGATGTGGTCTCACCAAAACACGGCACAATTTTAGTTAGACTTCTTTATTCCTGTAGTAATTATCTGCAATAAAGGCCAATATGCAATTTGCTTTTCCAGCTGCTTGCAGCAGCTGGGACTTTTTGCAGTCAATGAATGATTATATACATTTCTCTTTCAATATCAATACTGAACAAGTTTCACATCTTTTAAACAATATCTGCTTTTTTTATTGTGACCAAAGTGAATAACCTAACACTGTCTGGGAAACAAGATGGCGGATACACTCAGTTAACCTGTCTCTGTCTCTTTGCAGCCTCTCTTGCCTTTCCTCCTAGCTTTATATCGTCAGCAAACTCAGATGCTTTACTCTCTCTAGATTGTAAATAGCAGCAGCCCCAGCACCGATCCTCATGGCACTTCACTATTCACCAGTCCTCTATCCACGGTAATATATTTACCAGTATTCCAGACCTTATCTGTTAACTTTTTTGTGTGATATTGTATTGAGTGCCTTTTGCTAATCTACCAGTTATGCTGCATCTGTTGGTTCCACTTTATTGAGTTTAATTGTTGCATCCTCAAAACAGCTCTAATAAGTTTGTCAGATAGGATTTCCTCTTTGTAAAACCATATTGAGCTTTTGTAATCAGACTGTGCTTTTTCTAGTGCATTGTTAACAATTAGAAGTTAGAATTAGCTTTATTGTCACATGTACTCACATGAGTACAGTGAAAAGTTTACAAGTCACCACTTATGGTGCCACCTTAGATACAAATGTATATAGGTACAGATTCTTAAGTACAA